GGGGCAGGCATCAGTGGAGGACTGGTAGAAGAGGACGGTCCAGCTCTGGAGGCCTTCCAAGCAGAGAGCAAGGTCTGCAGTCTGTTTGGCACTAGGGGTGTCCAGCCAGGTCTCCTGGGGTCAGCAGATGCCATAACCAGTCTCCTTCCTGTCCACTCAGGTCCTCTCCTTCATCCCAGGTTCCTGTTGAGTCATTTCATCACGTTGAAAATGTCCTTTTTGGAGGAGAACCCAGGCGTGACTTTGGACTCTGAAGACCAGGAAAGAGATGATCCTCAGTGCTTCTCAGAAGGTGAGATTCTTAAAAATATCCACCCCAGGGCCCAAGAGTAACTCCCGAAGCAGGACCTTGTGAGATACTGTGCCCAGACCCAGTTCCTCACTGTTGACCGTGCATGGTAAGTGAGCTTTGAGAACTTCTCTGGAAAATGAATTAGAGAGAAATCCTTGAGGGGTGAATGAAGCTTTGCCACGGGTGTCCAGGTGTAGTACGTGGTAGAGAAACAGATCATCTTCATCCAAAGATTCGGGGCTTTGAAGTCCTGACTCACCAACTGGATGGTTTTGAATCCTCCAAATGCATCTCTTTCCTTCCAACTGACCTACAGGGAGGAGAAGGCCCTGCGGACAAGGGGTCCTCTAGGGCTGGGTTGGAAAAATGACCCCTGCTCAGGGCTTCTGAGTGGTCCCTGCACTTGGGCATTGGCTCAAGGGGGACAATGAGGACCCAATGGCCCATTTGACCAGAATGATGATCTAATGCGTGGAGTTCAAGAGGCCAAATCCCTGAGCTGTCAGCTCATGCGCCACCCCACCTCCCCCAGCAAGGTGCAGCCCCCCTGCGTCTCGGAAGCGCAGACTGTCAGATCTCCAGGGACAGGGGAGGATGAGGCCTGGAGTGGAGCGACGCGGAATTGTCTACGACAGCCTGGCAGTAGCAAAGCCAAGACTGGGTAGAACCTTTGCCCCAGAGCACAGGGTTTGGGTTTTCTTCCTCCACAATTCTGCGTGCTGTCAATGTGCAAAAGTGGTGTGGTGACAACCAGGTGTTTCATTCAGGCATTGCTCTCACTGAACGTTTTACGGGGGCAGAATCTTCCAGATTATTCTCAAAGTAAAACAGGCAAGGTGCACGACGCCCCTTGAATGAACGCAATGCAGATGTGGCCACTAAGGAGGTGCTCTAGGGAGTTCTGCCTTCAGACACCAAGTTAGCTCTGTTTTATCTCCATTTCCCGCCATTTTTGACCAGGGAAGCTGTTTCTGATGTCATGACGGTTTCTGTGCTTCAGTGTTTCTCAAAACACACAAGAAAGAAGTAAGGCAGTAAAGGGCCCCGGATGCTCCTGAGAATTCCAATTGCAGGTGCTAACCTCACTGTCTCTGATCCCAGATCCCGCCAGAGATGCCCTGGAGCTGGGCCCCAGCCTCACCTCCGTGAGCTCTGCCCACTCAAGTAAGGCTCTCCAGGGAACTGGTGAGGTGGGGAGGGCTGGGGACGGGGTGGGGGATGGGCCACTGGGCTCTCTTAGGGGAGGGGGACAGTCAGAGGCTGGGGACACCTAAGGGCGCTGGGACCCGGCTGAAGCATTACCTTTAGAAGCAAATCTCAGGAGGGTCAGTCAGGTGGGCCTCTGCTTTTCCAGAGAGGTGCAAGTAACAACGCCTGCTGAGGGCACAGGAGGAGAAAGGTTTTGAGCCTGGAAACCTTCCAGGGTTTTTTTTCTGACTGACCGTTGCCACGAGGCTGGCAGCCCGGCCTGCCCCACAGTGCTTATAAAAACCAGAAATGTGGCCAGCAGGGGGCGCACAGGAACCCACACCACTGAGCACCGTGGTGGCCCCTCTGAGCTAGAACCCTTCTCACAGGCTACCACGTGAAGCTTACGGCACCCCATGGGAAAATAGTTAACATCACCACTTTTCAGGGCAGAAACTGAAGAAGAGAGGGAGGTTACCTGTCCCAGGTGACACAGACGGTATGTGACAGATGCTGGAATTTGAAGTCACTATAACATCTGTCTGCCCAGGTCAGGTGGAAGGTCTCCAGTGCACCTCTACAGTGGTCCTGAGAAGGACTTGGAATCAGAAAAGATGGGCAAGAACACCAGTGCAGAGGACACTGCGCTGGCCTGAGAAGGAGGTGATGAGGGCCTGATAGGAGGGAACCAGAGGTAAAAGGGGAGAACGGATTTAAGAAATGTTTAAAGATGTACAGTGGTAGTGGTGGAAATGAGGCCTCTTAAAAATAGCATGCGTGGGTCTCAACCTGGACCAACCGAATCAGAATCTCAGGGATGTGGGGCCCAGGCACCCATGGGCTTAAAACATCACCCACCAGCTGATTTCCAGTGTAGAGCCAAGACTGAGAACCGCTGCCTTGGATGGTGACCCCCTAAAGGGTGGTCCTCAGACCATCTGTATCAGCAGCACCTGGGCGTCTAGAAAGGCAGGGTCTGTAGGTGTGGTTAATGTTCGAGAAGCTGGAAGGCTTAGAGCTAATCTAGTTAATGACTCTGAATCAACACGCATCCGTCCGTGAACTCAGGAGTCTGGGGCCCGGAAGAGCTGCGGAGGAGAGTCTGATGTGAGCGGAGCTGAGGACCACCGGTCTCCTCTGGCCCCGCTGTAGAGCTTCGTAGGATCTTGCTGGGGCCGGTCATCCATGCCATCAGCGCCGAGCGTCTTCGATGCTTCGGGCTCTAGGCGGGGGCTGAGGAGGATTGCGGGCAAGTCAGGCAGAGGACCTGCTCCCTGGGGGTTACAGCACCACAGGGACATGAGACAAGGATGCCGACACGTGTGCTGCACGGATGGGTGCAAAGAGCTGTGCAGCCCAGAGAGGAGGCCGGCCCATGCAGAGGGGCCAAGGAGGGCTTCAGGGAGGAGGTGGCAGGGGAGTCAGCAGAAGCTCCCCCCCGTCTCACGCAGGAGGCGGCCAGGAGGACATTCCGAGCTGAGAGTCCAGTCAGAGAGGCTTTGTGTTGATTGCAGAGAATGAGACCTTAGATTTCATCTCTTGTGGTAATCGCCTACGGAAGATAATTCAGTTACAGAACCAGCCGGTGCAGTGGTTACTGTGTCATCCCATCGGGCATTGTTATCACTCGTCCATGGTGGTCACTGGCCCACACGCGGGCTCCTGCCCTTCAGCAAACAAGGGCCTGAGCGCCTCTCTGAGGGGCGGGTCACCTGCCCAGTCAGAGGCCCAGTAGGGAAGGCTCCCTGTGTGGCCCCACCTCTAGGCAGGAATGGCCAGAAGGCGCCCCCAGGAGCCGGGCCCTGGGAAGCCGCCTGACCACCGTTGTGGCTGATCCTGCCTGTTAGCGAGGTTCCTCCAGGGCCAGGCGCGAGCCCTGCAGCTTTTCGTGGGAGGCCGGCAGTGCCAGCTCAGTCTCGCACGGTGCTGGGCTCCCGGGGGCTTCTGGCCTCCGCCTCTCACTCCTCGCTCTGCCACTGTCCCTTCACCGACCCAGCCACCCCCCCACCCCATTTCACAGATGAGGACATGGAGGTCTGGAGAGATTCAGGAACGTCTAAGTCCTAAAGTAGTAGTGACAGAGCTTGGATTTGAGCCCATGTGTCTAAGTGGGGGCCCACGTGCTTACATACACACGAAATTGCTTATCTGGAGCGAGGCAGAAGGCCTAGGGCGGAAGCGATCCCCCGGGGGCTACGGTAGCCGAGCCTGCAGGCGGAGGGGAGGGCTGAGGCTGGGACCACCGGCAGTGGGCCAGGAAGGATTGAGTTTTCTGTTCTCAGTGTGAAATGTTGAAGTGTTGATAACTGGTTGATTTGATCCAGGTCCAAGAGTGAAGGCCAAAGTTCCGGAGAAATTCAGTATCCATGACGGGGATCACAAAGTCCTGGTCCTGGACTCTGGGACGCTCAGAGCTGTTCCGTATAAAACCTACGTTCTCCCAGGTGACTCTCAGTCGTGGTCGGGCTTTCCGTCCCCGCGGTCAGGGTGAGGACTTCCTCTGCGGGGCGCAGCTCAGGCTGCCCCACGCCTGCAGCTCCGGCCGGTGGGAGGCAGCAGGGCGGAGGAGCCCAGCGGCCACCAGGGCCACTAGGAATTCGATGGCGAGTCTGTAACGATGACCAGATCCAACAGAGGTCTTTCTGGAAAGTTTCTCCTGAAAGAAGAGGCAGCTTGAAGCAGAATGAACAAGGGGACTTTGACTCAGAGCCAAGGGGAGGGACTGACACATCATGCAGACAAGAGAGAGAGAGTCTTTTTCCCTGCGCTGAGGACCACCCCATTTTTCTGACTGTCTTTTTCCAGAGACCTTCTTTGTACTTGCCTCCCACGTGGGCTCACCTTATGAGAAGAAAGGAAGCCCCATTTTCCTGGCCGTCTCTAAAGGAGAGCTGTGTCTCTGCTGCGAGAAGGACAAAGGGCAGCTCCAGCCATCCCTGCTGCTGAAGGTGAGTGTTTCAGCTTGGTTTCCTTGACCCTCGGCCAGGGTCTTCAATGCCTGTCACGCTCCACACATTCTCATCTCGGTCAGCGTAACAGGAGCACCCACCTTTCCACAAACTTTGCGTGGAAGGGTCTCCTGCCCTCCTCTTTGGCTCTGTGCCCCAAGAGCACATACGCTGGGTTTTCTCAGTCTCAAAGCCCGTGGCATCTAATTAACCCTTTCACCTTCTAGAAGAAGACCCTTTCTGACTTGGATGCCCAGAAGGAACCAGAATGTCAGTCCTTCACCTTTTATAGGGCTAAGGTGGGCTCCAAGAACACGCTGGAGTCAGCTGCCCACCCTGGATGGTTCGTTTGCACCTCCTGCAATGCCTGGGAACCTGTTGGAATGACAAAGATTCGAGGGAGAAAGAAACACACTGAGTTCTCATTTCACCCAGTTTGGAAAGCTGAAATGAGCCCCAGTGAGGTCAGCGAGTGCACAACTGCCCCATCAGAAGCCTTCCTGTCCTTAAGTCCTTAACTCCTGCCCAGGCTGGAGGAACACGGAAGCTGCTCACTAAACTCATCTGTTTCTTACTAGTACTTTGGGAATTTGTGTCTTTAGGTCTTAGAAAGAAGGCTTGCTTTGTTGTAGAGTTCTTAGATGAAATAAAGCTCTGCCTGTGTGCGACTTCTGCTGAACCATCAGCCATCCATAGGCAGTGTCGGATGGCATGATCGAGCCAGGTGGTCGGAACTTGTGACAGGAAGGAGCAGCTGCGATAATACTGTGCCCCAAAGTTAGCGTTCCTCCTGGGGCTGGACAGGCACTTGGGCCGGGGGGGTGCTGAAGTCCACGGAATGGTTTAGTCTGTGTCTAGGGCACAGTGTGACAGGAAGAAAATCAGAAAGTGACCATCCGGCCAAGTGGAAAAGGGTGGAGTGGGTCCCAGATAAGGAATGGGGCGACCCGAGGTGTGGGAGATGCACAGACACAAGGAATCTGGGTCAGGTGGCAGCCGGGGGACCAGGTGAGCAACCAGTCGGCTTCTGGGAGGCCTGCCCACGAGGGCCAGGTGCCTGCCCCTAGCTGGCTCAGATCCCAGTGAATAGTGAGAGGAGGGGCTGGCCGACCAGAAACCCACGGCTGGAAGCAGAGCAGGGGAGGGGAGCCTTGGAAGTGCCTGCTTATGGCTCCTCAGTTCCAAGTGACAATAGCTGAGTCAGGCTTCCCGAAGCAGAAAGCACATCAAACAGACAGGAACGTACTAGAAGGATTTGGGGGCATGCTCGTTTGTCATTGCGGCTGTCACAAATCAGCACACACTAGTGGTTAAAACAAGGCAGTTTCTTACCTTGCCTTTCTGGAGGTCAGTCTGAAATGGGCCTCACTGGGCTAAATTCAAAGTGTAGCCAGTGCTGCGTTCCTTTGGAACCTCAAGGGGAAAACTGATTTGATTCCCTTGCTTTTCTGGCCTCGAGCGAGGGGTCACCTGCATTCCTTGGCTCATGGCCCCTTCCTCCATCTTCAAAGTCGGCAAGGGCTGGTGGAGTCTTTCTCCGGAGAACCCCCCCCCCCCTTCCTCTCTCACTTGTTAAGAACCCTTGTGATGGCATTGGGCCCATCCCAGTAACCCAGGATAATTCCCATCTCAAGACCCTTAATTTAACCACGTCTGCAAAGTCCCTTTTGCCGCTGAAGGTACGTATCTTCCGAGGATCCGGGTAGGATGTGGACATCTGTGGGAGCATCACTCTGCTTAGCACATGAAGGCTGTGCTTAGAAGCCAGAGTCGGACATTTCCAGCAGGTCCAAAATCACAAGAGCCAGGGAGGTTTTGGCCCCACCATCTAGATGGGTAAGGAAAAGGTTCAGATTCCAAGGAGAGCGTGGGACCCCCTGCTTCAGCTCACGCATCTACTCCTCGGTCAGTCAATGGCAGCACCCTTTGATCAACATCCCTGCGAGACACTCAGCTTGGTGACATGGAGCAAATTGCTGTGATGCACTAGCAGGTCGCGTGGGCTTCCTGTGAGGCTCCACCAAGACCACAGACGAGGCCGCCCCCACCTGCAGAAGCACGGGATTCCTGCGCGCTGTTGGCTTTCCTGTTGGAAAGCTCAGGGGTGGCTCTGGTGCTCACGTGGGTGTTCCACCCACTTAAAAACTGTGAGCCGTTCCCTGTCGCAGCACTACCAACCCCCCTGCTGACCTGGCCTGATTTTTCTGTCCTTCTAATGTACCGTATAATTTGCTTATTTCTTAGGTTTAATGTTTGCCTCCTCTGCTAGGATGTAAGCTCCATGAGTGTCCTCTTCTCCGATGCATCGCAAGAACCTACCATAACACCCGGCACTTGTAGACACTCAGTAAGGTTTTTATGAATGAAGGAGGGAGGAAGAAAGAGCACAGGGAGGAAGGGAGAAAGGCAGAGAGAGAGGGAAGGGCTGTTATTTAAATGATGCTCTTCTTCCTGCCACAGCTAATAGGACTTCCCCTGCAAAGCAGATGCATCTTTGAAAACGTGTATAAATCCAGTGCAGGTGTTTTGGGTTTTATTTTCCTAACTGTCATTGTAATCATGGGTTTGGGGGTTCAGCGAAAAGGTTTTGGCCCTTACATATTACACCCCAGAATCCCAGTGTATTCCCTTCCGAGGGTGGCTGGAATAGAGTAAAACCACGAAGCAGCTTAAAGCAACCGAAATTTATCCTCTTACAGTCCCAGAGGTGAGAAGTGTGAGATCAAGATGTTGGCAGGACGGGCTCCTGCGAGGGCTCTGACGGAGAATCTGTTCTGAGCCTCTTCCAGCTTCCGGCTTTGTTGGCCATCCTTGGCGTCCCTTGGCTTGTAGATACATCATTCCACCTCCATTGTCACATGACCTTCTTCTCCCTGTGTCTCTGTGTCTTCATAAGGCCTTCTCTGTGTGTCAGTCTCCAAATTTCCCTCTTTTTTCAAGGACATCAGTTACATTGGATTAGGACACATCCTAAGAAGTTTATCTTGACTTGGTTACATCTGTAAAGACCCCATTTCCAACTAACGTGACATTCATAGGTATTGGGGGTTAAGACTTTAATGTATCTTTCTTTGGGGGGGACACAATTCAACCCATAGCACCCAACATTTCAGCTGTTCACCTCAAGGAATTCTCTACGCCTGTAAAAGGATGATCCGAGGGCAAGAACTCATGCAGAAGCGCCCCAACCAGGGGGTCCTCTCCCCAGCTGATCACTTCCCCCACCCCCATCCGAGATCCTGGGCAGGACAAGGGGGGAGAGGGAAAGAGGGAGGCTGTCTTGGGAATGGAAAGAGAAGACTCTAATCCGTCCTGCATCCTGCTTGGGAGGGAGTTACCCAGCAGAGCGTTAACAGACAGCCTTAGGAGTGGTGCACCCCAGGCATTTTTGATCCCGGTTACCCCAATGAATTAAACAAAATTGAGGACATATCTTGAAACGTAGACAATAGCACTTAATGAAGCTGACATAAAATTAGAAAATTTACAAGGGCTAAATAAATTAGAAACCAACATTTAGTTTCTTCTAACATTCCAAAGGGCTGTCTCACGCCGCCTCCTCGCTCCATCCCAGTGTCTGCAGGCACACCCCTAGTGACGTTCAACCAGTTCTCGGTCGTTGTGGGGCAGGGGGACTGGGAGGGAGCTCTGATAACACAGCTCTTGTTGGTTTTCACTATGTAACGACTCCCAGCAGAACCAACTTCAATGACATGCAGTCGCAGGACTACAGTCAAGAGGAGATGCTCACGTGGGCTCTTCTAAGCTGGGGTGCACTGGCTCCAGCACGCCGTGGCACCCATTTAAGATCTTCATTTTAGAACCAGGATTGGTTGGCAAATCATAGTCTGCAGGCCAGATCCAGCTCCCTGCCTGTGTTGTAGAGCTTGCTAACACAGCCATGCTCACGGGTTGTCTAGGGCAGCCTTCCCGCTACAATAGAACATGTGACACTGTTGTCACCAAGCTCATGAAATACACTGTTTCTTGTTTTGCATTTGTAGACACTTAGGAAGTTCCATTCATCTTACAAGGTGTCCATGAAGTTTGTGTCCTGCTCTTGCCTGTGATAACCTCCCATGCAAATGAGCCTTATAAGCTACGGAAGAGAATTATTTGGAACATGGCTCTAAATAGGAGATAATTATTATTATGTTTGTTAAAAAAACAAGACAGCAGGCCCCAAATGGAGTCGCTTATGCTATGCCCCCTATCACCAAACTGAGACTTAACTTAATTACAGTTCCCAGCTCTCCCAGAAAAGGAAACTTAACCCACTTAGGAATTGCCTGGTCAGAACTAGCTAGGACATTAGCCATCCCCTAAAGGAAAGTAACTTTGCGATAACAAATCTAGTTTTTTTTGCCTAGTAAAACTTCCTTGTTCCCGCTCCCTTCTTACTATAAAAGTCTTTCATTTGTAGGTCTCCTCGGAGCTCCTTTCTGTCTGCTAGACTGGATGCTGCCCGATTCGAATGGACTTTTACTCAAATAAACTCTTAAAACTGTTAATAAGCTTCAGTTTATCTTTTAATATTTTAAAAGAGTTGGTTACAAAGTGTTTTTCCCCACAAGTATGATTTATGAATCTAATAACTTTCTAGTTTTAATTAGCTGTTGTGCACTCTGCTGCCCAGAAAATAAATAATGCATGAAAACTAAAGCTGTTGCATTTTGCAGAGATGTTAGGCCTTTATGACTTTATACCGTCACATTTTCATAAGTTTTGGTCAAAATTTACTTCAGTAAAAAATAGTTTCAAAATAAGTTTCATCGAAAAAATTTTAAAAATTAAGCATGCAACAAGGAAATAAGTTGTACTAATATAAAAAATTTCATGTATTCAATAACTAAATATGTGACTTTCACAAATCCTTCAGTCACATAAAAACAATTCTAAAATCTCCACTTTACAGGTACAACGACTAAAACCTCACTTTAGTTAGTTAACTAGATTTAATTATGTTAAACTATTTATTTTTGAATTTATCACTGAAATACCATCAGCAAACAGATTTTGGCAAAATAATATTAAGAATAATATTAAAAGTCGATAATAAATATACGTGGATGTGTGAATTGGGATGCAGAGTAAAATCTATTTCAAACCGCAGGTTGCATTAAAATAAAAAATTTGAAAACCGCAGTTCTGAACTTGTGACAAAGGTCCTGCCTTCAGGCGCCACGCGGAGCTCGGAGCTCCAGCATCTCCAAGCCCAGGGTGTGGCCTCCAGAGGTGGTGCCTCCAGACACGTCATTCGGTGTCACGGCGCCCTCTGCTGGTCAGAGAAGGCACAGCTCTGCCGGTAGCTCAGCCAGGGCCCAGCTGGAAGCCCGGACGGTGTTTCAGGGTGACCACAAAGGTGGCCTCTGGATTCCCTGGCGGCCATGCCCTCTCTGTAGCAGCATCCAGGAGGGGGAAGGGGCTTAGGATGGCTCTTTAAGGGGTTTGTGCTGAACCAAACCTTTGCGTTCGCGAAGCTAAGGTGAGATGGAGGTGGCGAGGAGGTACACAGGGTGAGCTTATGGAGGGACCTGGAGTCTCACTCTAGAGCCTGGACTTGCTGAGGACGGCGCAGAGGGTTTTACTCTGGGGAGTGAATTGTAGAGGGGTTTCTTGGCTAGAGTGAGCCGGCAGCTTGCAGCAGGTTGCACCTTGAGGTGGGCGGGCAGTTATGGGCTGGAAGCCAGGTGGTAAGTGGTACCCCTGAGCTTCAGGTGGTCATGCCTGTGCCTCTACCTGCTCTGCGCCTGTAAGACTGACCTCGGGGGCTGCTTCAGCGGTCTCTGGTCCTCTGTCTCCGGGTTGGACTCAGGCAATGGGAGATCAGAGGGAGGGATGAGAGGTTGGTTAGCATACAACCATCCCACCCCACCGCCAGGGGCCAATTGGCAGCACTACGTTCCAATAAAAAAGACCACAGCCGGAATCTCTTTGTATAGCTGTCCCCCGAGGTCCCCTTGCCCTTCCTCCTCCGGAGGGCGTCGTGGATTCTAGCTGTCAGCAGCTTCACCATCTTTTGTTGTTTTCTGGGGTCCCGCTCACTTTTTTAAATAATCCCTTTGATCGGATTCTCCCCTTGTGCACCTTTTGAGCTCTCTCCCTTGCTAGGGATTGATCTGTGCTAGAGTTTGAACTTTATGGTCGGGGCAATAGGGAGTCATTGAAGGTTTTAGAGAGGGCAGTGACAAGAGCAGATGTGTATTCTGGAAAAATCTGACCAAAGTGAGCAGAACTGCGAGGGTTTGAGGCCACAGACCATTAACAGACAGTAGCAGGAACCCAGGGGATAAACCAGGACCTGGAAGCCTAGTGTTGGGTCAGGGAATGGGAGAGGGAAGCCACGCCATTAAATGAGCATGTCAGTTGCACATATTACTTGGTAGTTCACTCTAAAAAGCCAGAAATTTAATGTATATATATATATATTTATTTTTTTTAGGGTTGACTTTGCTGTGGGAAAGACGACATTCTTTTTCTTTCTAACTGAGCATGCAATTCTGATCATCACAGGCAAAATTATCTTACAGACTGGAAGGAACCTAGCCTTAAGTATGAACATCAGTTCAGAGAAAATTTTTAAAATACTGATCCTTGTTGACATCATAGCACTATCAGATCAGCAACCCTGGTCCTGCACTACTTCTAGGCTTCCAATCGTGTGATCTAGAAAATATTTTTTATTGTTTTAGCCACTTTGAATTGGATTTTTCCAGCTTTTGCAGCTTGAAAGTAGCTTAACCAATAGATCACCCTAAGTAGAATTGATGAGTCAAAGGGTAGACACACTTTTAGATTTCTGAGCAATTGCTTTCCAAAAAAAGGTGTGCTGATTCACATATCCATCCATGCAATAAGTGAATCTGTTTCCTCATACCATTGACTATTATCTTTTATTTTTTTTTAAATTAAAGTACCATCAGTTACAATGTGTCAATTTCTGGTACGGAGCATAATGTCCCAGTCTCGCATATGCATACATATATTCATTTTCATATCCTAGTATCTTTTTAGTTTGTGCCTTCCTGGTGGGTGGAAACTGAATCTCATTATTGCTTTGATTTGCATCTTACTAATCACGAGTATGGTTAACTCTAATTACCTCTAATTATAGGATATTTACATTTTCTTCTCAGTTAAATTTTTTTTACATCAATCGCTCATTTCCTATAGAATTATTTGCATTTTTCTCATTGATGAATGGGAACTATTTAAAAATTTTGGATATTAGTTATTAGCCTGTTAGTCATGTTGCAAATATTTTCTCCCAGGTATCTTATCTTTTAACTTTCTTCCGTGGTATGTTTGGTCCAAGTTTGCCCCAAATTCTAAAATTTTGAGAATGTTCAGCTTATCATCTTTGTGTTCATGGCTTTTGCATTTTGTGTGATGTGGATTGTTGGGTGAAGGCTGAAAGTGCTCTGTCATCTGGCGCTTTGACCAGGAATTTCAAACTTCTGGCTTTTAACCTACAACCTCTCCTTAAATGTTGTACCGCAAGCTGTCCAATTAGGCATTAGCTGTTTGTGGTTTTTTTTTGCTGTTGTTGCCCATAAGTGTCCAACTTGGTCAATGGCAATTTTAAATTTAGAGAGATATACCTTTATGTTGGTTCTGAGTGATTGAATCCTTTTGTCATAATGCCTTTAACGTTTCTATTTATTTCTGCCATTTTGGTGAGTATTTTGGGGGTGGTTTTTGTTCATTTCGCCTTCATTTTCACATGAGGGAGGGGAAGCTGTTAAACAGCGTGTTGGCCCATCTCCTACAGGCTGGGGTTTCATGAAGAAACCAGCTTCAGGGAGATGTGAGGGGTCAGCCCCCAGGGAGGCGAGTCTTAGACACTGGGCTTGGGCCGCCTGGAGGACACAGGTTTGGGCATGTTCAAGTGCATCATCCTACACGTGCTGGGTAAGGCCTGGGCTGCAGAGGCTGCCCTGGGGGTTTCCTTGGCGTTTCTTTCAAATCTGTTGGAGTGAAATGGCTCCGTGCTGTTCTTTGCGGTTTATGATGCACATCCTGTTGCCCCATTAGTTTAACCAAGGTGAGTGCCAGGTTTTTTTTTTTTTCCCTAGTAACAACGCCCAGGGCAGACTGCCAGCCCTGACTGGAAGTGGCTTGTGCTGGGACCTGCGCTGCAGTGGCTTTAGCCCTTTTTGGAGCCCAAACGGAGCCGGTGAGCACTGTAGCAGAGAGCCCTGGATTAAGCCTCGTTCTGCTATTAATCTGATTCTGTGTATTTGTCAGCTTTTGGGGCCAGATCATCTCTACTGCTTCAAGGTCCTTCTGTTTAATTAATTGTGATTGTCAGCTTGGTTACATGAATAAGTCACTGTGGAGACTGTGCACCTGTGAACAGATCTAGAGATTCCAGTAGTGATGGATGACTGAACTGTCTTCCTCTTGCTGGTTTCCATTGATTCCCTCAACTTAAGATCGTAGGCATATTAAGTGAGCAAACGGGCAGGCCTTGGTACCAAGCAAGCGTGGATGCTGACAACTTAGAGCTTGGAAATTGGAATCTGGACTTAGTGATCTCAAAAATATGTGCATGTCTAGGATGTTTGGCTTTATGAACACTTACTTGAATTCAGTTCCAGCCGCACTGAACCGTGTGCATAACTTTTGTTGTTCTAGGTGACAGTGAAACATTCATGGAAAGAATCTGGCATACTGGGTTATGTTTACATAGCAGAACTGCCTTCTTTACTTTTTATGACCAGCACGAAAATTGATAGTCTTCTCAAATACAGCTGAGGTATCATGTAATCGTCCATTCTGCTCCAAGACAAGTTCTGGTCCATTTCTTCAGTCAGTGGGCTCTCTGCTCTGCAATTATCCACCCCAAAGGGTCAGTTCTTCCTTCTTATCAACATCACTCCTATTCGCTCTAATTTCTCTGATCCTCATTCACACCAGAGTTTAAACTGGGGACTTCAGAATGGATGCTGCTTGCTGAGAATTCTGGGAGTGCTGGATTCTCTGAATGTTGGGAAGCTGGGAAAGGTCAGGATCAAGTGGAACAAGAGGCTGAGGCTAAGCAGGACACACATCACCATGACACGTGGGGTTTTCAAGCCTTCACCTGGGCATGGAAAATTCAAGCTATACCCAAAGGCTTTTGAGTCAATGAAAATATAGCTCTCAGGGTGATGTTCTTGGGCCCTCTGAACATCACTGGGGCTGACCCCTCATCTCCACCTTCGTGGTTCATGCACCCCGCAGACTACACTCTCTTTTCAGAATCTGGGAATCAAGTTTGGGAGAGGAACGCCTCCTGCGTTAGAAGCGTCGATCCTCCAAGCTTCCTCCTTTGAGCTCCTAGGTTCTTTTGTCCCCTCTTGACTCCTTCCTGCATTTGGTACTATCTGGGGTACTTCGGCAGCTCCTTTTGACTCTTTGGCCTTCTAACATGAGTGTAACCCATTTCTTGTGTTCAGTTTCCTTTGTTTGCAATTCCTTGTGTGTGTTCTGCTTTCCAGACTGGATCCTGATTGGAACAGAGACCTAGGGAATTGGGGGGCCAGATGGTGAGGACTTTTAGATGCTGTATTGTGGTAAGCATCCCAAGAAAAGGGATATGTTGACTGATGGAGAAACTCTTCAACCGGGTAGAGGGGACTCAAGAGGTAACGCTGGCTGACCCTAGCTTTGAACAGAAGTTTGTCTGAATTCGTGACCACACTCTCTCTCCTAGCATAGCAGATAAACTGGAAACCAAAAGTGATGGGACTGGGGTCTCAACAGGAAAAGCTCGTGTTCCTCTAACTCCCAAAAGGAGATGGGGGTGAGAGGTTGAGCAAGGAGACTCTTTTCAGGGTTGGGAAGAGGGGCTCATGGAGCTGCTTGCCTAGAAGCTTCTGTCATATTCTTTGCACTTTTTCTTTTCCAGCTAGAGAGATGACTTTGAAGCTGTAGGCTGCTAGTCTGTTTTCTTCCTTTTTTTTAAATGTCTTTTTTCCAACAGTAATTATTTTTAAATTTTTATTTAATTAATTAATTTTTGGGGGGGTAATTAGGTGTACTTTGTTTTTCCATGGGAGCACTGGGGATCGAACCCAGGACCTCGTGCATGCTAGGCATGTGCTCTACCACTGAGCGCTACCCTCCCCCCAGCCTGTCTTCTGAAATTCACTTTAGTCAAGTTAACCTGTGTCCCGGAAAATTTTTTCGTGTGACCTCAACAGATAGGACTGGGGTGTGTGTGTGTGTGTGTGTGTGTGTAACAAACATGCAGAAAAATAACTGTTACCATTTATTAAGAACCTACGAATGTCCTGCATTATCAGAGCAGAGGATGAGGGATGGGCTGGCATCCAGGGCTCAGTTTTTAGACAAATCACTGCCTACCTCTTTAGTCCTCAGGCAGCTCTGGGGTCCACTGTATTTTGGGGGCACCAGGGACCCAGATGGCCTCAGTTACAGGTGTGCTGCCCAATATCTGCAGCTTCCAAGGAGATGGAGGTGCATCTCTGAGGGCCAAAAGAGTGTGTGTGTGGGGGGTTGGGGGCTTCTAGCCTAACCCTCCTTTCAGGGGTGACCGGAGATGGAAGTGCTGGGCGGGCAGGAATGCCCTTTGGCTCCTGCCTGAGCACACATAATTTTGCAGTCCCAGGACTCTCTTAGTGGGACTGCAGCGGGCAAATTTCTGGCCCCAGAGGATGGATTCCCTTTGCTTAAATCTTGCATTTCCATTCTTAGCCTCAGAGTGACATGGCAGGAGAACTGAGTCCTGGGGAAGTCCCTCAGCCTCCCCTTCCTGAAAAACCCAGGGTTTGTTATTAACCGTGTCGGTGAGACTTGACTTGCACTTACGTCTCAGAGAGCCCAGACAGGTCACACTCATGCTGATGCTGCAGTTTCTTTATCTGAGCCTCCCGGAATCTCCTGGCAGGAAGACCTGGCAATTTTTTTCAGGTCATAAGATTGTCACGCCCCATTGAGGAAGCTAGCACCTCCCTGTGAACTCAGATAAATACCGTCCGCTCTGGAGCCATCAGCGCTCTTGGTTGCTGCTGGAGCTGTGATTCGGTTCCTTGCACTTTTGATAAAAGTCCTTGACAGCTGATAGCCGGACGGTCCTCGACTCTCAAACCTGCTGTCTTTCTCATGCTCCGCGGCTTAGTGGAAGGATGAAAACACGCCAGGCTGGGTCCGTGTCCTGTCCTGTGTGGGGCTGCTGCTGCTTACTGGGGAGTTCCTGGGATCCTGGCTCTGCTGCCCTGGCACGGATCCCTCCCCTGCTTCCAGGCAGAAGAATTTGCCAGCGGGAGTGGGGAGGGCTGCTGGGAGAAGGGGACACAGGCATCAGGGAGCTGGGGGCTATGTGAGGTCAAAAGTCATCTGGGGGGAACTGTCCCCGGCTGGAGCTCTGGGTGGAGGAAAATTCTGCTTGATATCCTCTCCCTAAGGCTGGTTGCCTTGAAGTTTTGCCCCAGGAGGTGGTTCAGGTCTTCTGACTAGGGCTCGGCATCGGGCCAGACTTCAGCTCCCTGTCTAGAATAAGGACCTTAGGAACCAGTGTCCTGGGAAGGGTTTGGAGATGTCTCCTGAGGCTCAGATCTTCTATCCCTGTCCCCACAGGTACCAAAACAACCCCCTTAGGGTAGGCAATTGGAAAGGCTCTACCCATGGAGGACCCCATACAGAAGGTAATGTTGGGATCTGGAGGCTGGGAACACCTGCACTGTCCCTTTGGATGCCCATCTTCTCTATCCCTCCCTATATGGCACTTACCACCCAGTGCTGTCCATCTTCCACCGGACATGAGCTTTTGGGGGTGGGGACCATGGCTTGTTCACTGCTCGAGCTCCAGACCCAGCCTTGGGTCAAGCACAGCATAGGCATCAGGGAGAGTGGCTGGACCTTGAAACACGTGAGCTCCTGGGGCTGCTGGGTGACTGTCTTAGACCAGTTATGGCCCCAGGCCTCTGCACCAGAGCCCACAGCTTTATGGAAAGAGAGGCTGGGTTGATAGGTCACGTGAGACCTGCTGGTTTTGGTGTGTAAACCCTGGACCATCCTTCCTGAAAGGCCTGGATTAGATCTGTCTTCTAGCATCTGCTGAAGCAGCCTTACTCATTTTTTCTTCCGTATTCTTTTCCATTTAAACAGCAATGGATAAACCTCAGACTGTGAACATCTCTGACTTGAGTCAGCAGATGTGGGTCCTTCAGGGTCAGAGCCTCGTGACCGTCCCACGGAATGACAGGGTGGCTTCAGGTGAGAGGTTGTCGGGCAGCTGCTCCCTTGGAGGCAGCCCCTTACATTCGTGCAGCTGGAATGTTGGGACTCTGGGACGCTGGGACGCTGGGATGCTGGGACGCTGGGACGCTGGGACGCTGGGATCCTGGGATGCTGGGAAGTTGGGGTGCTGGGACGCTGGGTTGCTGGGACGCTGGGACCGCGTGGGGACTCCGTGGGATCGGTACGTAGGGTACGGTTACGGGTGGCCGTTGGGGACCGGCGTTAGGGGTT